TTCTTTCTGATAAGTGCCTGCTGCCTTTGTGTTGGTTCTGACACACAGTGACCAAACCTGTAAACATCAGCTGGAGGGGAGTGTCCACCTTCCTCCCTCAGAGCGGCAGGTGGATATGAACACTGGAGGTGTTCCCAGCTTTTGTGTTAGCAGTGTAACTCCATGTAGACTCTGCCACCAAAGTTCCCCATATTCACGTTTTAACATTGACCGGTCAGCGCGTGATTACCCCAGAGTCAAAAGGGCAGTGGTTGCCTTCAGGGCAGGAGTGAAATGTTAGCTTTAAGAGGCACAGGACTGGGGAAAGAGAGACTGAGGGTTGCTTTTTGCTTGTTTGGGGTTTTTTTTGGGTTTGTTTTATAAAATTTTATTTTATACTAGTTTACTTACAGGGTTCATGTGCATTGTTTTTCATGCCAGATCTTTTTCCATTTCCTTTACTCATTCCTCCCTCACCCACCAAATGGTGTGACCCGATGATTACTGTCCCCACCCCAGCCCTCACCCCTCTGCTCCCCACTCCTCTTGGATCCTCATACATGTTTTGCAATTTATCTCTCTGTTTCTGCAGTAGTGGTCTTGTGCAGTGTTTGTCCTTGTGGGACTGGGTTGGTTCAGTTAGCATGGTACTTTCTAGTCCCTCCCAAATTAGGGGTTCACTTTCAATATTTTTTTTAAATCATTGATTTTTTTATGTAAGTCTTTATGTAAGTAAATTATGTAAGTCTTCCTTAATCTAAAAGTCAGTTTTTAAAAATATATGGGTTTTTTTTTTAAAAGGCAACCAAAACCATTGTGTACATAGATTTGCTGTGACTCTGTGGTTCAAAATGAGGAAGAAGTAAAAGATTTGGTGTTTCTTGTCTGTCAGATTTAAGCTTATATGTTTAAGCTTATAAGTTTATATACTTTAAACACTGTTATTATAATTGTGTTACCTTTTTGTAACTATCAAAAACAAAAGAAATGAGACGTAAATGTACAAAAAAAGGAAAATAAAAATAGTTGCTCATCTAAAAGAGAGATGTAACTGGGTATTTCTGTCATCACAGGAGACTAGAGCGAGGGCTGCATGGTGGAGGGGACCTGGGGGAGTGTTTGTAAAACAATGAAAGAATCTTTTCTTTTACTTTTCCATAATTTTTGGACTCATGTACTTATAACTTGTTAGTCAAATTTGTGTCTTCTAGGTTGCAACACCCCCATGATACATCTTGAAGGATATGTACATGTACAGCCAAGCACAATCAATAAGAGTGCATCTGAATCCCAAAATCAATCTCCATAATAGTCTATGTGTTTCCTACTGCCAAAGGGGCCCTTTAGAGTAGTGAGAGAAGATCTTCACCCTGAAACCCACAGCGTTCCTTTTCAGCAGGAAGTAGCTAAGAGAATACGCCATCCCCTTTTCCTTATGACTCAGGGTGAAGTCTCTCTCAGGGAGGAGTGATAGGGAATGGCAAAGGATACACTGACAAAGAAGATTAATCAGAACTGGCTTTGACAAGCACTGTGGCATTCGGACAAGAACAAACTGGGAGGAGGGTAGAGAGAATAGTGCAACAATGAATGAGTGGAAGCCCAAAATCTCTGTAAATGTTTATGAAAATTAATAAAATATAATTATAGAAGAAAAAAAAAGAAAAAAAAATAGTTGCTCACAGGGAACTTGTATAGTTCCATTTTTAAATTTTGTTCTCTACTTTGTCTGTGGAAATAGCAATAACCTGGGGCTTGTCAGACCTATTAAATGAGCATTTGAAGGAGCTTCCCCTTCCCTCCCTGAGCCTCAAGACTGTTGACATTGAAATGTGTGAAGTAGGGAGACAATGAGAAAGAGCATGGAGAGTGACTACCTTCATATTTTGAAAGCTAACATGAATGAGTTCTTGCAATACATTTTTCCTTACTAGAAGTGCTCAGAATATAAGAAATAGGAACATAGAGGTGACTGAGACAAGCCAAGTTTGTCTGTTTTTACTATCCAGTTACTGTTCATTTTAGACCTTGTTGTAGGAACTCTGAACTCTCTTTAATGAAAGCTCCTATGAGTAGAAATGAAAATGCACTAGTTCCTAAAGATCATACGATTACTGAATTATTTTGTTGAGGTTATTAGAAAGAAATGTTTTAAAAGGGTCAAGCTTCATGAGGGACTGGGCTGTTCATTGGTGTCAGTTCCATTCATGCTTTCGTGCACAGAGAAGCATGAATTAGTTATACCTGACCTGAATGAACTTTAGGAAGATCTACCCTGGCACCCAGTGGCCAAAGAGGTAAGCGACACCAAGACAACAAATTGTTTTTGTTCTTTCTCCCTTGCTCTTTTAATAGTGTGGTCCTTAAAAAGTAGTTTAATATTTACATTCTTGTTACACTAACAGTATTGATGTTACATAAAAGACAAGGTTAAAGCTCAAGTAAATTGTGTGTAAATCTTGAAATAGGAAATGATAATCATGGAAGTAAGGAAAGAGTACAATCCTCTGATCACATTTTACTGTTTGCTGGTGCCCTTTGGCTTTACAACAGTAAGAACCTGCATGTAACATTAGTCTTCTGTGGAGATTTTATTTAAGGTATATGGGATGACTTTGAGCTGTGGTGTTGAAGAACACTGAACATCACATAGATAGCCAAGGGAATGAACAGATATGTCTTGGAGAAGCAGCAGCCAGAGTGCTGTTTGGAGTCAAGAATGATGAGTCTTCATCTCACATACTTGGGGCATGTTGCTAGGAAGTGCCTTCCTTGGAGAAGGACATGATACTGGGAAGGGTGGAGGGTTGGTGAAGGAGAGGAAGACCCTCAACTAAGTGGACTGACACAGTAATGGCTGCAATAGGCTCTTGTGTGTCAGGAAGTGTGAGGATGACGCAGAATAGAACAGGGTTCAGATCTTTTGTTCAGAGGGTCACTATGAGTCATGCTTGATTCAGTGGCACCTAACAACAACAACAACAACATATGGGATGACTATCTTTTCTTATTAGATTAAAACTAGATAACAAATCAAGTACTGCTATTTTCCCTAAGCAGTTCCAAAATGTGGGGCTTGTGGTACTTGTGAAGGGGGTTTTGTAAGGATTCTAGGCAGTGGTGGTTCAATAGCATATTTCTGACTTTCCAGGCAAGAGACCAGCTATAGCACCTCCTGTGTAGCCCCTTCCCATCTGCCAGTGGGAAGCTGCGTATTATTATGATATTGAATAAGTTTCAGCAGAGCTTCCGGTTTAAGACGGACTAAGAAGCTAGGTGTAGCAATCTACTTCTGAAAAGCAGCCAGTGAAACCCCTAGGGATCATCACAATCCAACCCCAACCCCTATCCCAGGGATGGGGCAGCTTTGGGCAGTGTCACCTTTCATTGTCTCTGGATTTAAAGGTCAACTTGAGGGCAGCTAATTAAAAAACAACAGCATAATGAATCTAGTTTTTATTTCCTTGAACTTGTGAAGCTGTGTGGACACTTGACGTTAGTCACAAGTTGCAAGAAACTTTGAAATGTGTGTGTGAAATGTGAAGGAGTCATGTGGGTGGTAAAGGAAACTAAGCATCATTTTATTGAAAATGATAGTATTTTTTTATTATTAAATTTTATTAGTTTTAATGAACATTTACAGGGTTTTGGGGTTTTCATTCCTTAATTGCTGCACCATTCTCTCTACCCTCCTCCCCAGTTTGTTCTTCTTCCCCCGCCATCTGATTGTCTGTTTTAATTGTCCAGTTGCCACAGTGCTTGTCAAAGTCAGTTCTGATTAATCTCCTTTGTCGGTGTGTCCTTTGCCATTCCCTATCACTCCTCCCTGAGAGAGACTTCACCCTGAGTCATAAGGAAAAGGGGATGGCGTATTCTCTTAGCTACTTCCTGCTGAAAAGGGATGCTGTGGGTGAAAATGATAGTATTTTGATCCACCATCAGACAGGCTGAACACAGGAGAGGATTGTTTGTTTTGTTTTGCTTTTTGCCCCACTTCCTGCCACTTCTAGAGGCGAGCCTTAATCTGGAGACTCCCTCTAGACCTGTGTATCCCTGAGAGAAATTGGCGAAGCTAAGCATCAGGAGATGTCTCACAAAGGAAACTAAACCGACCTCCTGCCCAGTTTCTTCAGTGAGAAGATGAGCAGAAGCTCAGACAGGTGAAGGCTAGCCTGAAGTCTGCTTTGACTGGCTTCTTTGTTAGTGCTCTTACTCTGCACTGGGGGCATTTTAGGGTGTCCTATTCAGCGATATTTCTGTTCTCTTAGAAATGGTTCCAGGTTTTTCAATTGCTAAACAGAAAATGATCAGGATTGTGTTATAATCCATTAAACCATACTGTGAATTCAGGCTTTGCTATGTGATGACTCATAAGTCTCAGAACTTCTCTGTTTCTCTAAAGATTGTCAATAGACTTTTCCTGGCCTGTCCTGGTGGCACAGTCTGTAGGGAGTTGCACTGCCAACCCAAAGGCGTCACCTCTCTAGTGGTTTGAAGCCACCAGTGGCTCTTTGGGAGAAAAAAGGGAAATCTCCTCCCATGTAATTTACAGTCACTGAAAACCTGCTGGAATTTCAACTCCGTGACAATGAGTAACTGAGTGAACCTGTACTATTTGGTGAGTTTGGAGGAGGAGATCAGAACATCTGGGAAGAGGCTGACAGACTTATTGTCAAATGAAGAATTTTTTTTTGGCTCTTTTTAGTTTATTACATGAAAGTGTTACACTAGTCCAATTTAAAAGTGGACCCCAAATGGTTACATTATACAAGCTGTGAAGTTTTAAACTTGTGACAAGGACAGAAGGGAAATTTTCTACTCATTGCAAGGAAATCCTTACTTAAGCTTCAAGCACTTAAAACCCATGAACCTTCAGCTGGTCGTCCTTACCCAGTCCAGTCTCTACAAGGAGCTGGCCAGATGTTCTTGCGCAGGTCACCCTGTAGCTGAATTACTTCTCCATATTCTGGATGCTCAATTACAGTACCATTGCAGGCAAACTTCTTAAACGCCTTCACTAGTTTCTTTTTATCATAATCATCAGCGATCCCTTGGACAGTTGTGAGGGTCTTCCTGCCGTTTCTCTGTTGAATTCTTATATGGATATAATCCTCAGTCCCAGCAGAAAGCAGGTCATCACCCTTACTTGCATCAGCAAAGGGGTCGAAAGAGTGGAGGTTCTGGATAGCGGACATACAATACGATTCCTTTTCCTCAATGGAAACGGCCTGCGGAAGGCAGTGGCAGGAGAAGGCGGGCAGGAGAGGGACAGAGCGTTGGGAAGCGAGGGGACTTGGGGGGTGGGGGTGGGGCAGCTGAGTCCTCGGCTCAGTGATTGGGGCCCAAATGAAGACTTTATTGACAAAATATATCTATACCCACAAGTACAAGGAAATAATGATTATGTTTTTGGTGATAAGGTATTCCTGATATTTTTGGTGTTTGACTCTTTCCCCTGCCCTGTTCTATTATGCTTTGCATTGTTTTGTTCTATTTTGCACTGCACAGTTTTGTGAAAATCTCCACAGGAAGTAGAGCCATGAGTGGAAGCTGACATACAGGCTAAGGGTATGAGATAGCTGGACTTTGTCATGATGACAAACCTACCTTTGCCCTGGTGTACCTGGCACTGGAACTTGGCCTGACAGGGTTTCCTAACCACAGTTATGTGTACTGAGAGTGGAAGCTATGTGCAAAGTAAAGGTAGACTGGGGAGGGGCACTTAATGCAAAACTGGAATTCATCTGTAGTTTAAAGAACAAGATAAAATGAAATACAAAGCTAAAGAAGAATTGAAATACCTGAGATTGTTTATTAATGGGAGGAAAAGATGAGGCTAAATAGATTTGTGGAATAGCCCAAGAAAGAGCCATGAAATAGTCTGAGGACATCAAGGAAGCAGTCATGAGACTGACCCTGACACACTTACTTAGGTTGAAATTCTGAGCAACAATCCCACATTGAGCTTGTTTTTCAGGTGTAAAGAACAGCCTCAACTTGAGTTGTGAAGACAGTAGGCCATTAGCTTTTAGAAAACGAAAGATCATAACGCATTATCTTGGACATTCAAACTTGAAACCAATTGCTTATCTATCTCCTCCGTTTTTCATGTGCCCTCAACAATCTGCCAGAATTAGGCTTCATTTTCATGTCTGTACTTCTGTTCTGTGTTTGTGTGTGACGTTCCTCACTGTTTGCATTGTCCACTTTAAAAAGTTTTTGTTTGAAGTGTTTGGAAATAATAACCATCTTGCGGGTTGAGCAAATACCACCTGCTGACTTAATATGTTGTCACTAGATGCTATTGAGACAAGTACAACTGATAGCAACCTTATGAACAAATGATGAAACCCCGTAATTTCCTAACTCATCTTTACCTCCTTAAAAATCTTTGCTGTGCTTAAGCTCATTAGTAGTCACTGCACCAATTTGTCTCTTGAGGTCTTTCTTTCCTTAGCTGACCCTTCACTGTTCCAGGAATGACACCTTTTTCCAAGGACTGGATCCACCTGACAACATGTCCAAAGGATCCTTGCTTCAATGGAGCAACTTGTTTGAACTTCCTCCAAGACAAATTAGTTTATTCTTTTGACAATCCACACTATTTGCAATACTCTTTGCCACCTCCGCAGTTCAAAGGCATCAGTTCTTCTTTGGTCTTCCTTATTCTTTGTCCAACTTTCACATATATATGAAGGAATTAAAAATACCATGGCTTGGATTAGCTACTCCATAGTCTTTAAACTGACATCCTTGCTTTTTAGAACTTTGGAGAGGTCCTTAACAGATGATTTGCCCAAGGCAACATGTCTTTTGATTTCCTGACATGGAGGAACCCAGAGGCGCAGGGTTCGAATCCACCAGATGCTCTGCCGGGGAAGGAGGGACAATCTCCTCCTGTACTAGTCAGATCTGATTTGACGGTACACGCACACAAAAATTAAGAATTAAAAATTAAAAAACAAAACAAAAACCTGACATGGAGGAAGACTTATCAATAACCTGCGTTATGCGGATGGCACAACCTTGCTTTCTGAAAGTGAGGAAGACTTGAAGCACTTGTTGCAGAAGATCAAGGAATGTAGCCTTCAGTATGAGTTGTGTCTCAGTGTGAAGAAAACAAAGATTCTCACCATTAGACCGAGAGGCAACATTATTGTGGAGGGAGAAGAGGTTGAAACTGTCAACAACTTTGTTTTACTTGGATCCACAGTAAACACCATGGTACCAGCAGTCAGGAAATCAGGAGATGTACAACATTGGGAAAGTCTGCAGTTTGGGACCTCTCCAAATTATTGAGGAGTAATGATGTTAGCTTGAGGATTAAGGTACATCTGATTAAGGCCATGGTTTTGCCAATCACTTGCTATGCATCTGAGAGCTGGACAATGAATAGGAATGACAGAAGAAGAATGGATCCTTTTGAGTTGTGATGTTGGAGAAGAGCACTGAATATCCCGTGACGGCTAAAAGAACAAACAGATATGTCTTGGAGAGGTTGCAGTCAGAGTGCTCTTTGGAGGCAAGGATGATGAGGCTTCACCTCACATACTTCTGGCAAATTGGTAAGAGGGGCTGTTCTTTAGAGAGGGACATGATGCTTGGAAGTGTGGAGGGTTGACAAAGGAGAGGAAGACTGTTGACCGGGTGGATGGATACAGTGACTGCTTCAGTGGGTTCTAGTGTGTTAGGAAGTGTGAAGGGTTTTCAGATCCCCTGTTCATAGGGGATCCCCTGTTCATATGCGACTTGATGGCACCTAACAACAACAACAACAACAATCTTCAATGGGAGCAAATAACTAAAAGATTCTCCTGTGGAGCAGTTGGGTGAGTTCAAACTGCTGACCTTTGGCTTACAAGCTGAGTCCTTAACCGTTGCACTACCAGAGTTCCTTAAATCTAGTTCAGTTAAGTCATTGAAATTATCCCCAAAGAAACTATTTTAAACTTATAATTCAAAAGTCAAAGTGCTATGCATACAAATAGATCCTAAGATATTTAAGAACATTTCTAAAAGTAATTTCTTCATTACAAAATATTTGTTTAATATTTGGTTTGTCCTAGATATTGATATATATTGATGTTTAACACTGAGATAGCTCCTACTTGTATGAAACTTAGAGTCTATTGTAGGAAAGAGACAATAAACTAGCGAGTAATCCAATAAAGATGTAGTTACACGGTCAGATTTGGTTATGTGAAGGACATTGGCAGCATCAGTAGAATCACCAGTAATTGTTTGCTTGCTCTGTGACTACTTAAAGAGTATATTTGTAATGAACTTACATCCCTTCCATGTCAGAAAAACGTGTTTCCCAAAAGTAATGACTCTTTTCACTAAACCTCAGACTAGCTTCTGTTATTTATTTTTATACTGGAAGAGCTGTTATTTCAAGTTGCAGTAAATAGCTGTTGTTTACATGTATTATTGCTATAGGGAGAGGGTTAATGAACAACTGGATGGCCCTACAACCTTTGTACCTGTAAGAAAATAGAGAAACACAAACAATTTAAAGAGGGAGAAATAGGTATGACTAAGGATAAAACTAAAGCTTGAAGAGGTTTTCTAATTCCTAGACCTGCGGCCTTTTACTTTAATAGATTGCTTCCATTGGATTAATATTGACAGATCCCAAGCACTGTATGAGTATGTCTATTTTATATAGTTTCAAGGGCATACGAGGAGTAGTGAGCAGATATGTCATCTTTGTTTCTTAACACTGTCTTTCAACATCATTACCATTATCAAGTTCTCTCAAAATAGATATTATTTTATTGGGCATTAGTTAGCTCAGAAGAATACTTTTCAGAAGAAAATATTTGTCCGTTTTAATGTCTGACATTGAGAATAGGTTATGAACAGAGTCGTCCTTGTATTGTAGGGATCAGTACTGAGTCATTACTCAGACTAGCAAGCTCACACAGGCAGCAGACATAGCCACTGATGACTCAGTATTTATTGAATGTACGAGCATTCACCTGTAGGGCCCACTGATTCCTGTGGTAGGTATCACACTTCATGCCCCAGCGCTGCCCTTGTCACTTTTGAAATGCTGATCAGTCTATGTCCATTTGAATGATACACAATAGAAATTTGATATGATTAAAGTTAAATAGCTATACGTCTTTTGGGTTTAAGCAATTCAGATGTTGATCATATGTATGTATTGTATAATTATGTATGGTTGAATCATATATATATGTTATATTGTTGTTGTTATTATGTGCTGTCGAGTCATTTGCGACTCATAACAACCCTATGTACAACAGCCCTAAGCCCTGTTCTATCCTGTGCCAATCGCATAAGTATATGTATTATTGCTCCAATTTGGTTCTAAGTATGCTAGAATATGCTGTTTACTGTAATTGCATTTAAAAATTATTTTGAAAGACAGAATGTATATGTGATTGAGTGAAAACCCATAAAGTTTATTTTGTGTTTTCTACACATCCCCGACCCCCAAGCCTTTTGTTAGTTCCTTCTAGTTTGATCCTGTGTTGATGTATTTGCTATTTTTATCCCACAGGAGATGTCCCTGAGAATGATCTGCATGGAAGACTTTATATCAACCGTGTTTTTCATATCAGCGCTGAGAGAATGTTTGAATTGCTCTTCACTAGTTCTCGGTTTATGCAGAGATTTTCCAATTCTAGAAATATAGTAGGTGAGTTCATTTGTTCTTATCTAATGACAAGTTTCAGGAATATTTTTCTCCTTAGAAGGTTGAACCTATGTAAATGGATTTATGTGGTCACCGAAAAGAAACAAGATTAGACATGCCTTGGCTTTATTAAGGAGCTCTGGTGGCATAGTACATTACCTGTTGTGCTGCTAAATGGAAGTTCAGCAGTTAGATTCCACCAACTGCTCTCCCTCTGTAAAGGTTTATGCTCCTGGAAACCTGAGGAAGGATTCCTATGAGTTGGAATAAATTCAATGGCAGTGGGTGCAGGTTTGGGTTTGGGTTTTTATTTTATTATGGTGATATATAAGCTGGTGTGTAAGTGTTCTGGTTAAATTCACATGTAAATAGTACGACTGTTTAATTAGTCAAACCTTATCTACAAACCTTTTATTGAGTTGTAGTACAGAACCTTGAAAACTACATTTATTCATTTAGTTCAAAAGGATTCTGTTGTGGAACAAGTAGATGCTGATATATGCTAGTGACTGTAAGTTGGTACAGCCACTTTACAAAATTGTCTGAAATTATTCACCACAGTTTGATAAATGCATTTTCTATAATTGTAAACAACTGCACTCTTGCTTATATACCCATTACAAATGTTTATATAATATGGGCACTGAATAATGTGCTACGGTGATTATCGTAGTATTGTTTATAATAGACAATAAGCTAAAATAGTCCTAATGTCTATTTGTAATATAGTGGATAAATATATTGTATATGTCCACACTGAAGAATTTTATGTAGCAATGAACAGAATCCCCAAACTATTGTTACTTATAACAAGATGACTGCATTTTATAGACGTATGTTAAGTAAAAGAAGATAGAATTTTTTGTCGGTTTGTTTACTTCAAAACTAGTAAAAAACAGTCAAAACTCATTTGTAGAGTTAATCAGGATAGTGTAGTTATTGTCTTGCAGAATGAGGTGAATGATGATAAGGAGGGAACTTTTAGGATTCTAGGAAAGCTCTGTGTCATGAGCTGAATGGTGTTACACAGATGTGTCTCCTTTATGGAAGTTCGTGAAGCTAACACTTGAGATTATAATAAGCTATGAAGGAGCTCTTGGCTTAGCAGTAAGGAATTGCACTGCCAACCCAAATGTATGCATTTCAAATCCACTAGCTATTTTGTGGGAGAAAGATGGGCAATCTCCTCCCATGTGATTAACTGCCTCTGAAAACCCACTGGAGGGTCAGCTGTCTGTCAATTTAAACTTGATGGTACACAACAACATGGCAACACTTGAGACTATAATGTCTGTGCAGACATCAGTGGAAAAATACAAGGAATATTCCCTTTAGGAAATTAGTTGTACTTACGAAAAGATCTTCATTGATTGTATGTTAAAAATTTGTATTTTGCTAAACATTTTAATTTTGAAGTCAATTTATCCTAGTATTTAAAGATATTTTATAGACTTTTGGAGTGTATAGTGTATAACTTGCTGTATGAAAAGCAAGAAGATTTTTGAAAGATGTTCATTTTAAATAAGTCAAAGAGAAAGTTTTTCTGTACTCAATTTAAATATAATACACAATCTAGCCAATTTATTAACCACTAGATAATATTCCCTTAAGGAGCTCTGATAGCACAGTGCTTAGGGATTTGTGCTGCTAATTAAAAGGCTTCGTCTCCTGCTGGTTCAAATACGCCATCCACTCTGAGGGAGAAAGATGGACAATCTCCAGTGTGATTTACTGCCTCAGAAACTCAATGGAGTCAACTATGAGTCAGTCAGTTCTGACTCCTCCACAACAGTGAGAAAGAGATAGTCCTTTCTTTGTATATATTTATGGAAATTTATATTAATAAATTTTATTGTTGATATGGATTCCAATTATGAAAGGACTACTGAGAGTAGAGTAGCAAAGAAATGTCTTATCTGTAGCTATTATTTGAATTGTGGTTACGGTAAGTGTTTCATAATTTTTTAAAATTTGTAGCCCGCACCTTCAGATTATAACGATGTGAAAGATTGGAGAAAACTTCCTCTTCGCTCAGCAGGTTATGGTTAACATTTTATACCTGTTTTGAATGTATCTTGAGCTTCTTGCTATTCATTCTTTACTTGGAGACTTTTCTTTTGCAGAAAATGTGAATATACTGTTTTTCTTTTCAGAAATGATGCTTCTAAAGCATTGGCATTTTTATGGTAAAAGGCCAATAAGGAGCTAGCATGTTATACGATGTTGGTATTAGATGGCATTCACATTTTTAATATGGATGTGGATATGATGCTATAACTGACTTTAGGAAGCAACATCTTATGACTAATCCCAAATCTAAACAGGTACAGATGTTTTTGCTGTTCACAACTAGAAGGAGTCAGGCATTTTGTACAAAAGATTGAATTTAAATCTGTACCTGGCTGTATGCCATTATGCTATCCTTAGAAATTGTTCCCTGGTAGTAATAAAATGGGGTGCCAGCACCCTTGAAAACTGACTTTCCTACCACCAACTGATTGTTCACAGCTTTAGTTTGCTTTACACCGTAGTCAATACTCTTGGTACCAGCAGCTTGGAAATTAAAAGATGTATTGCAATGGGAAAGTCTGCTGTTAGGAACCTCTCCAAATTACTGAAGAGCAATGGTGTCACTCTGGAGACTAAGGTGTGCCTGATAAAGGCCATGGTCTTTGCAATCACTGGACAATGACTAGGGAGGATAGAAGAATTGGTGCCTTTGAGCTGTGGTGCTGGAGAAGAGTATTGAGGGGTACCATGGACTGCTAGGAAAACAAACAGATTCATCCTGGAAAGGGTCAAACTGGGTGGCTCCTTGGAGGCAAGGGTTCTGATGCTCGTCTGAGATACTTTGGACATGTTGCAAGGAGGGATCAGTCCTTGGAGAGGGACATCATGCTTGGGAGGGTGGAGGAACAGCGCAGGAGGGGAAGACACTCTATGAGGAAGATTGATTCAGTTACTGGGGTAATCAGGGTGAGTGTATCAGAGACATTGAGATTGGCACAAGATAGAGCAGGGTTTAGGGCTGTTGTCCATAGGGTCACTATGACTCGCAAGCAACTCGATGACACATAACAACAACTGTCCACTGGAGGAATGATTTCCAGCTACCTTAACTGCGAACACATTGTTTTGCAAATGATCAACAGATGTGAGATTAATAAGAGAGTGCTCTCCATACAGTGGAGCGTTTGAAAATATCAACAGAGAAGGAGCACGACTGTGTTAACTTAGCCCATGCCTTCTGGACAAAGAGAAGTTATTTGGACTGAGAAATCACATAATGCAAACTAAGCATCCAAGCTATATCCAGCCTCGTCCATCGCTCGCCAGTTTCTACAAAAAACCAGCCTACAGTCACTGAGTCATCTCCCTGATGAGTCTGAGTCTCTGGATGACCTTCTAGCAAATCACTGAACCCAAAGGCTATAGAGAAATTGGGGAATTCCACCATGGGTGGAGCTGTTAATGCCAGAAATTATGGACTTAGACAGCTGCTTAAGCATTTGGGACTACACTGACCTGTTGTTTGTTGTTGTTATGTGCTGTTGAGTCACTTGCAACTCAGTGACCCTATGTACAACAGCCCTAAACCCTGCTGTATCCTCTGCCAACTTTCTTGTCTCTGACACACCTATTCCCACCCCACTCCCCAGTCACTGAATCAATCCATTTCATTGAGAGTCTTCCTTTCTTACTCTCTCCTTCCTCCCTCCCAAGCATGATGTCCTTCTCCAAGGACTAGTCTTTTCTTGCAACATGCCTAAAGTATGTCAGACAGAGCTTCAGAATCCCTGCCTCCAAGGAGCAGCCTGGTTTTATGCTTTTTTAGGATGAACCTGTTTGTTCTCCTAACAGTCCACAGAATAGTCAATACTCTTCTCCAGCACCACAGCTCAAAGGCATCAGTTTTATCCTTCTATCATCCCCAGTCATTGTCCAGCTTTCTGATGCATAGCAAGTAATTGCAAAGACTATGGCCTGGATCAGATATACCTTATTCTCTAGACTGACATCATCGCTCTTCAGTACACTGGAGAGGTCCCTGACAGCATACTTTCCCAATGCAATTCATCTCCGCCCTGACCAGCTGCTGGTACCAAGAGTATTGATTGTGGAGTCAAGAAAACTGAAGATGTTAACAATCTCAATCTCTTCACTGTCTATAATGATGCTGCCAATTTGGCACAGTGGTAGGAATCTTTGTTTTCTTGATGTTGAGCTTCAATTCATTTTGAAGGCTGCAGCCCTTGACCTTCTACGGCAAGTGCTTCAGGTCCTCCTCAGTGTCAGCAAGCAGGGTTGTGTCGGCTGCATAACGCAGAATGTTAATGAGTCTTCCTCCAATCCTGGTGCCACATTTTTTTCTCAGAGTCCAGCCTCCTGAATAATCTGTTCTGCATATAGATTTAAAAGGTATGGAGATAGGACAGATCCCTGGTGTATACCCTTCCCAATTTTGGGAAGTGTTTCTTTGCTCTGTTTTGACGACTGCCTCTTGGACCTGGATAGGTTTCACATAAGCACAATCAAGTGTTCTGGGATTCCCGTTCTTCTCAGAGTCAGCAGCAGTTTGTTGTGATCCACATAGTCAAATGTCTTTTCATAGTCAGTGAAACACAGATAAACATTCCTCTGGTAGTCTCGGCTTTCTGCCAAGATTCATATAATATTAGCTATAATATCCCTACTACCATGGCCTCTTCTAAACCTAGCCTGCACTTCTGTTGATGTGTTGTTCCAGTCATTTTTGGATCATTTGCAGCAGAATCTTGCTTGAATGTGATATTAATGATATTGCTCAATAATTTATACACTCTCTTGGGTTATGTATACTAGGTATTGGCAAAATGAGATGGGTTGGTATGGGACATTTTAAGTCAGAAGATCATATAATCTATTTTGCAAGAGATGAAAAGGTGAGGAAAAATGGGGTTGCTGTAATAGTAAAAAAAGTCATTACTAGATCTATATTGAAATACAATGTTGTGAATGACAGG